CCCGCCGCGTCGCCGTCGAAGGGCGGTGTCCCGGGCGGTGCCCGGGGACAGTGGCGGCTCCAGCCCCGCTCCACGCGTCGGGTTCTCCTTGGGAAAGTTCAACTTGAAGAGCAAACTTATAAACGAAGAGCGGAGTGTTATGAACCTCGATTCACACCCGGAGGGTTTGCTCTGGCTAGGGGATGTTCAAGTGTGGTGTTACGCAAAAATCGGGAGTGCTGAGATCCTTCTAGGGAAAACTTGCCCTTTACATTTTCCTATCAGACACATGTATTAAAAACAAGCGTAGTGTTTGGCATAGGTGTGGTTTTCATCACGTGAGAAGAGCTCATATTCTGGGACTTGCTGCTGTTTCATACATCTCATTATGAAGAGGAAATTGCTAGATACTGCTGCTGCCCACCCACGTGGCACCACAAAGATTTGTCCCAAATATTTCTTAGAGCATCCTATGAAACCATCTTAGTTTTCTAGAAATTAGAGGGATCTGACATTATTGTGTCTTGTACTGTCCTTTACAGTAATGTTGTTTCACAGGATAATTTGCTTTTACATGTTTGCCTCAAAACCTTTTAAGGATATAGATAGAGAAAAGTGATAAATACTCAGTGGCAGACCGTTATCTTGCAGTAGGAAGGGAAATGCTTCTCTAAGAAATGTTGCGCCATAAATTCGGTCAAAAGATTAGTTTTACATCTTTTACACTGCAATTTTGGTTTCTCTAAGGGTATTTTTTTGGATAGGAAAATATTCCCCAAATCTGTATCTGCTCTAACTTGGTTTTGCTTGAATGTGTGCTAAAATAAGTATAAAATGTCAGGTGGTCCCCAAGATGTGATAAAACACTTGGCTGTTCAAAAGCTTTTAATCCTAAAGCCAGCGGTTTTGGTGTATTGCTTTAGAACTCAATTTTCTGCTTGTGTTCCTGTCCTGAGAACCTTCGTCTCCTCTTGATAATAAGTTGATTGTAGTTCAGAGATGTACTACTAGAGTTTGTTTTGATCTCCACCTAGCATAAAAAAGCATCATTGTTTCCTGCTTACCTGTAGTATCCTGAAACTGTGTTCTTGAATAGGAAAACATAAGTTCTATTTTCTGTTCATGACTGTATAATATACCCAGTCTTATTTTCTGGAAATCAACTACATAGTTTAAAGATGGTTCCTTTAGAGGGGTGGTAAAATCGCTCTGTGTTATAATTCAGTATTTAATGTCCAGAACGAATGCAGTCTCTTTGCCTTGTATAAGCATGTTGTCAAACTTGTTACAGTTTTTGTAAAATCACAGAAAGCTTCAATACACTGGTGTTCAAAATAGAAGATTTTTGGGAGGGGGGAGGAAGATGAGGGGGGAAGATGCATTCACTCAAATGGACTTGAATTAAACATGAAGCAATAGCAGAATTAGGCCAACCTTTTACTATATTTAGAGGATGTTCAAGGATGCATCTGATCCTCTAATGAAGCTGCAAATCCCTGATTTCTACAACTTTGAGTTTCAACTCTCTCTAATCCCTATTAAAGCTATTTTAGGTTAGTGGTGGGGAAGTTTTAAAACAGTGGTTAACAGTCTTGAAGAGCATGTAATAAAAACCTGAGTAAACAACAACATTAGTATATCAGATGGATGAAGAAGAAGGGACTTTTCTGTCAGGGGGGACTGACAGAAAAGTAGTAGGGATTGGCCTGTTGTAGAGTTTGCAGCTCTGTTATAAGACAGCTTTGACTGATAAACTTCCTATGCTTTCCCTCAAGACAGTCTGGGTCTGTGATGTGGTTCACTGTGCAGGTGGGTGGTGGTACTGGTATAGAAAACATATGAAGCAGAAGAAACACAGCAGGGAATGCGGAATATGGAGGGACAAAGATTGACATTTGGTCAGCATCGTGCAGTAGAGGGTCACAAATGAGTAGCTAGTACCTTCTTCATCCTCTGTCCTGGTACTGATTTCCAGTTCTGTGGCAGAGCATAGATTCTTGCTTTAAATGGGCAGCCTGAAACCTTGGAATGTCCTTGCAAGAAGCTTTCCTTTTATTTTTTTCCTTTTATCGTGGAGTCATTATGGTTGGAAAAGACCTTCAAGATCATCGAGTCCATCGTAAGACCTTCAACACTATACTTGCTAAATGTCACTAAGTGCCTCATCCACATGTTTCTTGAACACTGTCAGGGATGGTGACTCCACCCATATAGGAAGTTGCTAATTCTGATTAACTTGCATATTCCATTCTCCAGTGGCAATTATTTATGTAAGGGGCAGATAAATGAGGGCATAGGGAAGGAGAAAAAAAGTATCTGTCTTAAAATGTAAAAGGGAAGAAGGAACATTTTGCTTGGTGATACCACAGATCTGAGTAATTCATAGAAGCTCAAGGGCAGTGAAGGATGAGACAGGGAAGATTCTACCATCTAATGCTTGGCTGATCTGAGGAATATTCATTATTATGCCATGTTGTTTGTTTTTGTTGTGTAGGTAAATATTGGGGATAATTGCTGCAGGGGATAATGTTATCTCTATTCTGTATCTGCATTATTATCCCATTAGTACTGTTTAAAATTAGAATATTCTTATTCCCTAGTGTTTCTAGGCTGAATTTTATTAACTAAGCCCAATGCACTTCTGAGAAGGTTCCCAAGGTCAAACTGAATCTCTGGAAAGTCATATCCAAAAACACTCTGGATCTGTAAACGAGGTTTAAAAAATGAAAGCTTGAATGTGCAGTGCTGTTCAATGGAATTGGTGTTTTCTTACGTGCAGTAGATCATGGGAAGAGTTAAGCACCTGCAGATATACCTAGAAATGAGTGTTGACTGAGGTATGTTCACTCTCCTATTATGAAAAGCGGTTGCACAATGGCAGTTCTTGTCTGGGAGCTGTTCATCTATATGAATATGATGTTGTGCTTTAGCTACCATAACTTGCTTCTCAGCAAGGCAAGGGTGTGATTCAGCGGTCATTTTAATTTGACATAACTTTGGGCTACTGCCAAAGGGTCCACATGTCTTCTTCACCCCTGGCTATGCGTTTCTGATCTCTCACTTATGCTGGTGCTATCATTTGTGGCCAAATGCAAATCAACTTTTGCTGTTGTTGGCTTCATTTTCGTTTGGATGAGTTCCTAGGTCTGACTCAATGCATGACTAAAATGCGGTAAGCAGTCAGCAGAGATTTGTAGTTGGGGGAAGAGTAGGCCAATCTTTGTTGCTCTCAATAGGAGTCCCATTTATGCCAGATTAAAAATATCATGAAATTGCAGTATAACAAGCTCCGTCTCAAAGCTATGTTAACACTGCTGCATAGATTCCAGATTAGATTTGGCTTTTATCTCGCCAATTTGGATGTGAGGAGAGATACCTGTCTATCTTTATCTGTAAAGATATATCCCGACAATGCAATATGCCAAGCCAGTGCAAATTTAGCCTTAGTGTGAAGCTAGTAACAGAGGATACTTGAAGGACAAAAGATTATTTTAAAAATCTGGATTCTTGAAGATGGTGGGGCCTTATTCTGGTGTGCTAAGAAGTGTTTCTGCTCAGGATGTGGAGCTCTGAATTCAGCTTTTGCATCAGTTCTGCCACTGACCCAATTTCTACTCTCACCACTGCTCTTCTTGCCTCTAGATCTGCTTGTCCTCTATTTAAATTACGAATTATTTAGGCTCCAATCCATTTTTTTTTCTGTATTCATTTTTGTTTTGTATTTGCAGATATCCTTTACTGGTAAGACCCCAATTCATGGCATGAATTCTTTGGTGCTATGATGATACCATCAATAATATTTTTTTTCAGCTGAAAATCAGCACCATAGGAAATAGCCATGGATAAGTATTTCTCGATTCTGATCTTCCTTGTGAAGTCTCCTGACTTTAGTGAAACAGTCTCTGTCGACTCATGCATAGTGCCAATGTGGGTTGCCATGCACTGTAGCATCTCAGCCCTCCCTGGTATGCAGCCACATTTGGCAAAAGTTTTTACATTGACAATTACTATGAAGTTTAAATTAAAACATAATTCTGTAAAAAATTTGTATATATTTATATTGTATGTATTGAATTATATTATCAGAATTGCCTTTTATTGTATTTTTGCCTTCTCATTTTAATTTTGAAGGATAAGTCCATAAATCTTATTTTTAGCATGATCTGAGATAGATAGAAATTTTATCCTCGACTTTAGTTTTTAATTTCTGTTACAATCGTGTTTTAAAGATTCCTTTAGAAGATGATTTTCAGTGTTATACTTGTACAGATCATAGTGTCAAAATTATGGCATATTAGGTCTTTACAAACTGAAATAGTCAATAGTAGCTCTATAGGATATAGAGCTTTCTAAAGCTGTGGTTCAGCTATGCCTTATTCAAGGTTAGATCCATAGTGCCAGCATGTGATACTCTCTTCAGCTCAGGTTACATCATATTTCATGTATGTTCTTTCCGTTTCCCATATTGCTCTCTTAATTTTGGAATCTGGCCAATAATCAAGTATTGAATAAGAAGGGTGTGTTTATTTTATTGTGTTGCAAGATGAATGGCAATGTTCTGTTATACCAAATGTAGACTACGAATATAA